AGGGTCAGAGAAAAAGAGGAAGACCCCCAACGAGATGGATCAGCCAGGTGGCATCATTGATGGACTCAAGTGAGGCAGTGGTAGTGAGGTTGGCCCAGGATCGACCATTGTTTCGTTCTGCTGTGCATGGGGTCACTATGAGTCGGTTCCGACTCAATGGCACCTGACAACAACAGTTGTAATCTTTATGGACGCAGACTGTCACATCCATCGTGGAACAACTGGTGGTTTCAAACCATTAGCCTTTTGATTAGCAACTGAACACTTTAAGCAAGCCACCACCAGTTCACCAAAAACTCAGTAAAATATTATTATTTTTAAAGCAACAATGCAATGTGGTACTGGTGGATGGACAGACATATAGATCAGTGGAACAGATTAGAGAAGCTTGGAAAAGCTTAAATCTGCCCAAGTGAATTTTGAGAGAAGTAATTCCAGGGTGGAAGGGTAGGTTTTTCCATCAAACGGTGCTGAAGCCATTGGTTAGCTACAGGCTAAAAGATGAACACCAACCTAGCTCTCAAACCTTATAAACATTAATCTAAGATGATAACATACTTGAATGTAAAATATAAAAGAATAAAACTTTTAGGAAAAAAATAGGAGAAAATCTTTTGTAAAAGGAAAAAATGGTTAAATTGTATGTTAACAAAACTTTTCCTCTGTGGAAAAACCCCACTAAGACAATAAAAAGACAGTATAGACTGGGAGAAAATACTTGTAAATTATAGATCCAACAAATCAGAAAGTCAAAGCTTAAGAGAGGTAACTGTTTTCCCAAGGTCCGAGGCAGGCAGGTGACCTGCCTTAATTCCACTCATTGTAATTGCTTCAAAAGGAACTTTTGTTCTCCATCGTTTAAAGAGCCAAGATCAGAAACTCACATGTCCCACTCCCAGTCTTGGAAAGGGGTCACCTTGGCATACACTCTCCAACCTTATTTCCCACAGTACTCTTGGAAAATACAGCCCCACATGTTAGGAAGGGGTATTGCTAACCAAGGAGACATCTTGGCCCGTTTCTTCTCTTACAGCTCTGCAGAAGGGCTCAGATCTGGAAAAAGCCGTGGCCACCACTGCTCTGGTTTTCAGAAATGCTTCAGACCCTGATGGCAGACTCGGAAAAGCTAAAGCCAAAAACCTGCTTCACTCTCAATTCAGGAATTTCATAGAGGTAAGGAAATTAACATGCATGAAGGTTGCCCCATACCGAAACAACATCAGCTCAAGGCCACCTGTGTGTTGTTTTGCAGGTGCTTACTGGGCACCTACCAATACCAGGCAGTGAGGTCAGCACTGTTGTTGTTAGGTGCCGCTCAGTCATAGTGACCTTATGCATAAGAGAATGAAACAATGTCCAGTCCTGTGCCACTAGTATCAGTATAATGAACAACTAACAAGCCAACAGAATAATCAGATGTACTGAGAAATAATTAGAAATATTCAAAGAACTACAAATGAGTATGCCGTGGAAGAGTACCACAGAGGGGCTCTCTTGCAAGAGGTAATCCAGGAAGGAGTTCTGTAAAGTTAAATTATAAGCTGATATCTGAAGAATGGGGAGCATTGTGGCTCCATATGATAAGCATTGGACTACAAACCATATAGTCCAGGGTTCAAAACCACCAGCCACTCTGTGGGAGAAAGAAGAGGCTTTCTGCTCTCTATGAGACTTAAAACCTCAGAAACCCTCTGAGTCAGAACCGACGGATGTCACTTAACAGCAAGAACAATCTGAAAAATGTGCAGGAGGTAGCAAGGCAAGGGGATGGAGGGTAAGGGTGAGGACAATTGCAGGCCAAGCAGGGAGATGGCATGGCAAAGGCCCAGAGGCATGCCAAAGATCTAAAATTTCAGTATTGGCAAGGAGAAAATGGAACTCGGAATTGGTGGGAGAAAGGACGAAAGTCACATTTTACAGAGGAATAGCCTGAAGGCAAGCAGAAGTCACAAACTATTTTTCCATCCAGGACTAACAGATAACACATGGGCTGCAGTGTGGACCACAGACTAAGGCAAAGAAAACAGGGGAAAGGGATTAATTATGAGGAAGTAATCCACATAAGGGAGTCCTGGTGTGGCTGCAAAGCAGTTTGAACTGCAAGGTTGGCATTTCAAACTCACCAGCTGCTCCTTGGAAACTCTATACAGGTCCCTATGGGTCAGAACGAACTCAATGGCACTTCACAACAACAACAAATCCATATAAAAGATGATGATGGCTTCTAGCTATTGTTGTTACTATTATTATTTGTTATTTTGTATATTGTTATTCCAGTTATTATTGTTGTTATTATTCTATGCACACCAGATTCTGGTATGCATAGAATGCTTATGAGTAGGAAATTCTATGAAATGAAATTCTATGCCCAGTCCGGACTTTCACCATCCTCACAACTGTAGTTAC